CGCAGGCGCGGGCTTGTCTCTCAACAGCAGCCGTCCCTTGCCAGTGTCGTTTCTCCTGCACTGATCTCCGGTCAGCGCCAGATCTGCCGGATAACGTGTTCTTCAGAGAAAGCGCGCCGTATCCGTTTGCTTTCCGAGAATGCAAGCTGCGCCCCCCCCCCCCCCCAGGCGCAGGCTGGAAACGTCTCTCTCCATCTCTCCATCTCTCCATCTCTCCATCTCTCCATCTCTCCATCTCTCCATCTCTCCATCTCTCCATCTCTCCAACTCTCCAACTCTTGCGCGCCCGCCCGCCCGCTCTCGATCCCATGGCTCCGTCGATGAGCTTCCGAGCAGGCAGACCCCCGTTGGACGCTAAAAAGGCGACATACCCCCATCTTCTCCTCCGGCGGACGGGGCTTCTGCTCTTAACTTGACCCGTCCTAGCGCCTGCTCCTGTCCGCTGCCTTTTCCCCGCTTGGATTTGCCTGCGCATCGTTCAGCCCAGTTTCCCCCCAGGCCTAAGCCTCGGACCGCCAACGATACCCAGTGTGTTGTACTCTCTCTGCCGTGATAGCGCCATACAGCACGCATCAACTGGAGTGCCGGCAATGACCACAATCTCGTGGATGGACGGAAATCCGTTTCCCATATTCGCCCTGCACTCGCCGTCGCACCACACGAGGTCTCGCGACGGCGACTCTTGTCATTCTCGTCGTCCCAGGACAGGCAGGACCTGCACCAATTTGTTCTCGTGTCTCAAATGGACCTGCAGCTGGCTCTGCTTTCGTACAATCCAGCACGCCACGCCCGTACGAAGCTCTAGCCACGGGAGAGTGTTGGCTGTGTGCCTGGCCTTGTTCCATCTGGTCTGGCCTACCTACCTTTTTGATTCTGTTGATCCCATCTGTCTCCTCTGTCCCCCCCCCCCTCGCTCGGCAGTGGCCCACACTCGCGGCTCCGTGCGTTGCATCTCTCATCCGCATTCTCGCCTCGGCCAGCGTAATAACACAGCTGAGGCGCGCATTCTCCTGGCCTGAGGATTCTCTGGGGCAGATAGGTGTGGACGCACCGCGGCAGCATCAGATAGGTACACATTTCTACCTGGACGACTGGGCCTGTGTTTCTCTGTTCGATTTGCTGCAAGGCAAGATTGCAAGCTGCACAAACGAAACAGCCCTGTCGTATGTATCGTATCCTGTTGAGTGGGCGTTTCCAGCCATTCAAGTCGGACAGCCGTCTGCAACTCATGATGCATCGGCGGGGCGAGAAGTGCATCGCGTATCTGCCATGTCAGCACCAGCAGCACCAATACCAGATCCCTCAAAGCTTGTTATCAAGAGGGTTCATTTCGGTTTCGGTACACACACACACGTCTGCAAGGTTCTTTGGGTATTCAAGGTCGGTGTACCTTTGACTTGCCTGCTTTGGCCTTACTCTGCCGAGGTAACCCAAAGTACCTCGCCTTGTGGATTTTGTACAATTGCAACATCAACATCTCTCTCTCCCTGTCGTGCCTGTGGCCAGCCGTCGGAGGCCAATCGCAAACCACCATCCCATTCCAGAGGAGCAGAGAAAAAGAAGGGCTCCAGAGGCACCTCGTCGCACTCGTACATCCATTGAATCTCCCGCTGTCTCCATGTTTATTATCTTGAGCCACGCCTCGTCACGGGCTCCTCTCTGCTCTCTTCTCTTTCTTTTCCTCTTCCTCTTCCTCTTTCCTCCTTCGTGCCCGACGCCTCGCCCGCTTTCTCCATCCTCGCATCCTCTTTTCTTTTTGCCTATATATCCTATGCCTGTTAGGGCGGCCATCTCGTCGAGTCTGCCGGACCCTACCCTACCCTACCCTACCCTGAGAAGACATTTTGCCTGTGGAAGACCGGACGACAGTAGTTACAAAGCCCAAACATAGACGGCACGCCCACGACATAGGACAGACAACACACACGCGCGACAGATTGCGTACGCCCCTTTCGTCCCGACCTCTTTCGACGTTTCGAACCCTGGGGGCTCTGTACTGCTCGACCGCTCTTCTGAATCTCGAGAGTCTGGCTTCTAGTCGACTAAGCTTGCAGCTGCATCCAAGAGGCATCATCGAGTTTCCAGTTTGCCATTGGCTCGGTACACTGTATGATTGGACGTCGACATTGTCCGCCTCCACTACCGATACGGTCGGTACCTCTTTGCGCCCCAGCCCTCAGCTGTAGGTACATGTGCCAGAGTCTGTCTACCTGTCTGTCTACGCAGTGAGGTATACGTACAAGGAAGGTAGCCTTTCGTCGCCAAGGTATCCGTATCCTTTGGCCAACTACCTACGGATACATACAGCCTACCCTACTGCACCTATTGCGCACCTAGCTGCTACCGCAGCCGCCTTTGGCCGCCCCCCCTCGGTGTACGAACGCACGCATAAGCAGCCCATACAACAAACCGCAAACGATCATTAGCTTTTGTCAAGCCGCACATCACATCATTTGGAGACGAACGCTGTTCCCTACCCACGGCGCACAAACCAGAGACACCGTTTCCCATTCCGAACGTCCATCTGTCATCATTACCACCCGGCTGCCCGCGTGCCTGCCTGCCTGCCGGCCTGCCGGCCCATCTGTTTGTTCCCTCACTCGAGAGACAATCTCAAGAAACTAAAGGAGAAGAGGGGAAGGGGAGAAATCCGCAGCCGGCCTTTATTTTCAGCACCACGGATCACAGCAGCTAGGGAGGAGGGATTGTTCATACTCGAAAGAGCGCATATAGGGACAAGATTTCGGTAAGTCGAAGCAAGTCTCTCTTGAATTGGGGGCCAATGACCCCCCTTCCTTGTCTACCTATTTCGGTCATTCCCATGTTGCTGTTCCCTCGCCTCCCTCGTCCCTCCAATCCTCTCTCTCTCCACACACACACACACACACACACACACACACACATACACACACACATACATGCATCGCTTTTCTCACCGTGCACTGTCGCGGTCCATGTTTGGTACGCCCCCAAGGCCAAAAAAATTAAAGGCCAAAAACCAATAACCGAAAAAACCAAACCTCAAGGTACGATTCGGGTATCGGAGGAAGGCCCCCCCCCCCCCTCTCTCTCTCTCTCTCTCTCTCTCTCCCTCTCCCTCTCCCTCTCGTGTCCGTCAGTACCCTTTCCCACCACCCCTCGTATCAGCCGTCTCTTCCTGTTCCCCCGTCCATCCATCGTCCAAAGTGGTCTTGTCCCCTCTTCTCCGGCTCCACGTCTATCGTCCAAGTAAGTCCAAGGCCTACAACTCCCTACATCCATCCATCCACCCACCCACCCCCATCTTGGCACGTCTGCCCCCCGGTTCCACTCAGCCATATCCATGCTTGCAGGCTGGGCCAGCAAGCGAGCAAGCCAGCCGTGGGTGGATTGACTGGGTCAAAACCCAGGGCCCAAGACGAAGAAGCTCCATGTTCAGCTCCCCTTCAAACCCGCCCCTCCACCCCCCCCTTCTCTCCCGTCCCCGTGCCGGCGGATGCTTCCAGTTTGCAGCACGGCGCAATACAGCAGCACATCACCACCTAACACCCCAAGGGTGTCACCGTCCATGACGGGGATTGCGCCGTCACAAGCAGGAAGAAGGGAAGAGGAAGATAAGGGAGGGCAAAGAAACCTACAGAGTTAATCCTTAGCTGCTCGCTTCCCGCCTTGTCCATTGCCCCAGCTGGCAGCGGGTGCTCCATCATCAATCAACCTAATCAGCCTTACCACGACGCTTGACCTGTCGGGGTGTTTCTTTCTCTACCCTTTTTATTTTTATTTCTTGTTTTTGTTGGCTCTCCATCGATTCCCTGCTCTCCATACTCGTCTCCCTCTTCGTCATCTCGTACTCCTCATTCCTCATCCCTCTCTTCTCGCTATTAGCTTCCACATACCACTCTCTCACTCACACACACACACACATACACACACACCGCGCGCACTCTCACTGTTTTCTTTCTCGCCTCTCTCTCTCTCTCGTCTCCTCCTTACCACCACCCCTCCCCCACCCCTGTCCACCCCCCCGGTCCCTTCGCCCTCGAAGCCCGCTCGCTTCCGTTTCTTTCTACATAATTGAAATCTGCTCGTCCACCCTTATCCCTCCATACTCTATTGTCCCTCTTCGCCTCCTCATACCTCTCTCCCTCACGACAAAGCACAACCTCAACAACTGTCCCTGCTTGGCATTAGATTGTGTGCACCCTAGTCTGCCTGGTTTTGCTGACGTTCGGTGTTCTCCCTTCGTTTTTTAGTCTGCGCCATAGAGAGTATTCCTGGAGAAAGTTCCTGTCGCATTCCCAAAAGAAGGAAGAAAAAAAAAAGGTTTACGCCTACTCGGTATATAATTCACGAACGGGGAACCCCCAAAAAAAATCCCCCGAAAAAAAAAGAAAAGAAAAAAAAAAAGCCCCTCCCCCCCAGCAAATCCAAAACCGTACATTACCGGCCGACACCACACACACACACCCTCCGCGTGTGTCGCTACCAGCCAACTGCCACACGCTCAACAACCTTTGTGTGTGCTATCGACGCCAGGTGCTCCGACTCCTGCTTCCATTCATCGCAGCCCGCGACCCCTTCGCCATCCCAATCCTCCGAAAACTCTCGATCCTCCCCGCTTCGCCCACTAAAACACCCGATCCGCCATCCTGCTTTGCGACCGTCGCTGCTGCACAGAGACCGCCCGCCAACATGACGACTACCGTAAGTTGGTTCCCCTTTACACCACGTGAGGTCCGATGGGGGATGCAAGCTCCCCCCCCGGGTCGCGGAGTTGCGAGCGCGCGACCGTGTGTGTCAAAGACTTGCATCTTGCTAGCGCCGTCATGGCCTTGGCCCGACTCACTCATCCGGCGCTCGGAGCTTCGCCTAGACCTGGTCAACAGCTCAAAAATGCGTGCTTCGCGCCTCGTTTTCAACCCTCTCCATTCCTCTATTGCCATCCACCACCCATGGCTGCCACTTCGCTAACCTGTCACCTTCACCAGGCCCGGCCAGCAGGTCGGTACGGGAGCTTCCCAATGACCAACGGCCAGAACGAGAAGCAAGCCCCGGCCGTCGCCCCCGGCGGCTTCACCGGCTCCAACCTGTACTCGCAGAACATCTGGAACCCCACGTATGGCGGCGCCGCCAAGAGAGACACAAGAGGTATGCCTACAATCCCATCCCCACCACACCCCCTCCCCTCCGGACTAGCCCTCTGCGACGGCATCTGACACAACATCAATCAACAGGACCCGAAGACGCCTTCCCCGGACAACCGTCCGGGTCTAGCGCCCTCAGAGAGAACTCGGAGGCCGAGACCTGGAGCCACAGCCCGTGGAACCAGGACGCCCAGACCCGGACGGCCTCCGGCAGCGCCTCGCCCAACCGCACACGCGACAGCCTGCACGGTGCCACGTCCTTCTTCGAGAACAATGCCGTCGGTCAGGGACGGGGCCTCATCAATGGCCGCCCAAAGTCCTACCTCGAGGAGGATAAGGAGAACGCCGGCTTCGGCCCCAGCTACAACAGCCCCTTCGACGGCTCCTACACCCGGCAGGAGAAGCGCGGCTCCAAGGACAACGCCTACCTCGGCCTCGGCGTCGTTGGCGCTCCCTCGAGAGACGACAGCATTCCCCCCTCGCGTCAGTCGGACGATTCGCACCACTCGCCCCCAGCATTCCGGGACACCTTCGGTGGCTACGGCCACACGCCTAGCAACTCGATTTCCCGCCCGGCCATCCCCGGCCACTCTTCCTCCTTCCCCACGCAGACGGCCAACAATCGCGCCTTCATGGCCAACGGCAGGCAGATGGACGACGCCGACCTGGCCTCGCAGTTCAAGAAGACTCTCACCCTCGACGAGGCCCAGAGCCTCGCTGCCGCTAGCGCGCAGAACTTCCAATTCAACCCCGTGTCCCAACCCTGGAGGGCAGACGTCACCACAACCGACGCCTACGCCGATGCCATGGCCCAGTACCTCCCGCACAAGCGCGGCCCCGTCGCCGCCACCACCTCCTCCAGCCAGTACCGGGTCGTCACCAGCCCGAAGAACTATGCGCCCCAGCTCTCCGACCCCTGGGCCCAGAGGCAGCCGTCTCGCGACCTGAGAATGGTCCCGGACAGTGACCGGCGGACGCCCGTCCCGGCCTTCATTCAGGCCCAGGCCCCGGCCTTCTACCCCGGCCCCTACTATAGCCCCAACTACGCCGGGCAATACCCTCCTCAGATGTTCGACCCCTATGGCAGGCCCTCGCTGCCCCTGCCCGGCTACGGCCTGCACATGGCGCCCTACTCCATCCCCGGCGTCATGCCCGTCCGTCCGGCCAAGGACCAGGACCCCGGCAAGGGCGTCCGGAGCCTGCTCCTGGAGGAATTCAGGTCCAGCTCCAAGTCGAACAAGCGATACGAGCTCAAGGACATTTACGGCCACGTCGTCGAGTTCAGCGGTGACCAGCACGGCTCGAGGTTCATCCAGCAGAAGCTTGAGACGGCCAATAGCGACGAGAAGGATCAGGTCTTCCGCGAGATCGAGCCCAACGCCATCCAGCTGATGAAGGACGTCTTCGGCAATTACGTCATCCAGAAGTTCTTTGAGCACGGCAACCAGGTCCAGAAGAAGGTGCTGGCTTCGCAGATGAAGGGCAAGGTCGTCGACCTATCGATGCAGATGTACGCCTGCAGGGTCGTGCAGAAGGTGCGTAGCCCTCCCCTTGTCGGTTTTTCCGTTTCCCTCGGACCCGCTGACGTTGTCTAGGCCCTCGAACACGTCCTCGTCGAGCAGCAGGCAGAGCTCGTCAAGGAGCTGGAGCCCGAGATTCTTAAGGTTGTAAAGGACCAGAACGGCAACCACGTCGTGCAGAAGATCATCGAGCTCGTCCCCCGCCAGTACATTGACTTCGTTATGGACTCGTTCCGCGGCCAGGTCAGCCAGCTGGCGGCGCACATGTACGCCTGCCGCGTTATCCAGCGCATGCTTGAGTACGGCACGGACCAGGACAAGGAGACCATCCTGGCCGAGCTGCATAACTCGACGCAGGTCCTCATCACTGACCAGTACGGTAACTATGTTGTGCAGCACATCATCGAGCACGGCAAGTCCGAGGACCGGTCGAGGATCATCCAGCTCGTCATCGCGCAGCTCGTCACCATGTCCAAGCACAAGTTCGCGTCCAACGTCGTCGAGAAGTGCATTCAGTACGGCTCCGCCGAGGAGCGCAAGGGCATCCGCGAGCAGATCATCTCCCAGAGCGCCGACGGCACCAGCTCGCTCCAGCTGATGATGAAGGACCAGTACGGCAACTACGTTATCCAGAAGCTGCTGAACCAGCTCGACGGACCTGAGCGCGAGGCCTTTGTCGAGGAGATGCGACCCCAGTTCAACACACTGCGTAAGACCAGCACCAGCCGCCAGCTGGCGGCCATCGACAGGCTCATCTACGCGACGCAGACGCAGCCCCCGGCCAAGACTGGCGGGTCCCAGGCCGACTCGACGGCTGCGACCCCGGTCCTGACCATGGAGCCCAACAGCCCGCAGAGCAGCAGTCCCCCAAGCACCAGCGCCAGCGCCGTCGGCGAGGTGGCAGAGGACGACAGCAAGGTCGGCGCTCCGGGTGGCGTCAGCCTCAAGGTGGAGGTGGACGAGGCCTGAACAAACAGCACACGGAACCACGGGGATGACGGCGTCTACGGTTGATTCGAGGTACCACGGACATGCATCACGACACCACATACGGATTTGACGATTCCGGACGCGAGGGATTCCCCCCTCCCCCTCGTGCCAGACTTGTTTCGAAACGATTGCACCTAATTTCTGTTTACATTTGACAGCTTCGGATATTCGGCAACACAAACACACACACACACACACACACACACACACACACACATACATGGTGGGGTTCACTACGGTAGAAAATTGTCTGGACAAACATTACGGGGAAAACATAGTAAGGAACTGGACAAAACGGGACATGATTGGTGTCGTCGCATGCTTTCTGTTTATTTTCCCGGATAATGAGTCTTGAGAGATGGACTGGGGGGGGGGGACGACTACAGAGGGCAGTGGCAGAAAAAGAAAAAAACTTGGCGAACCGGTCAATGTGGGATGAGAGATTCTCACGGTTTCACTTGGGGCATTCGGGACACGGCGCGTCGCAATGGCTGGGTTGATTTATTGTCTTCTTGTACTTTATTTGGATTCCTTGTGTCTAGCGATACCAGTCTCAGTCTGATGGTAGACCTGTCAATAGACGTCAGTGCATGAAAAAGTGTGGAACGCAAGTGAGGTCTGGATGGAAATCTGCTGCCGTTCATCCCAGGGAGCTTTCGTGTGTCACTCATCCTCACCCTCGTTATGAGGGTGTGCACCTAGGGGCAAGCCAAGTGTGTGTATTATAGATGTATTCTCTGAAGCTATAGTGGATCTAAGATGTCCCCTGTACTCTTTGGATATATGGATGCCTTAGGCATCCCAGACACTTGTCGTCCTCGTCAAGGGAGGAAGTCTGGCGTTCCGCCAAGGCCCTTCGGCACATGACCCGGCTCGGAAGGGCATCTGACGCCGCTCTGCTTGGGATCGGGATTATGTAAGACGACAGAGGTAGGCACATGACATCACCCGGCTGGTCCCTGCATCTAGCCTCCGACCAGCTCAGGACGCCCGCGGCCCCACGTGTCAGGGCATCGTGGAAATTAACCGCTCCTTTCCCTCACCCCCAAAGCGCTTTTTCCCTTCCCGCAAACACCAACACCAACAACACACACACAAACACACACACACACAACCACCGCGGAATATATGCAGCGCGACCGGGAACGATGCATTCCGCCCGATTGACCTTTCTCTACCCGCCCCTGTTCCGGACGATACGCGTCGCCGAGGGCGCCGCCGCGAACGCCTCGAGGTCGTCATCCCCATCATCAACGACACCATGCCGTGGACGAGCGCCGGCCGAGGTCCGGCTACGGGGGTACGCTGCGTTCGCCCCGACGACGGGGGCGCGGCAGTCCGGGTTCGCGCCGCGGCACGGCAAGGGCGTTGAGCCGGTGACGAAAATGGACGAGACGACGGTCGGGGCGTCCAAGGGGGATGCCATCAGTGGGCTGGACCCGAAGACGGCGAATACGACGACGACTAAGACTGCTACAACGGCGACGGGTACGACGGCGGCGGCGGCGGCGACACCGAGTCAGACAGCCGCGCCGGGAGAAGATAACGAGGCCGGCGAGGCCAAGGCGGCGAAGCAGGAGGCGCGCGACCAGGCCAAGAAGAGCGGACCGCTAGAGGCGATCCTTCACATGGGCCCGCCCGAGGAGGCGGTTGCGGTGGCGGTGTCGGGCGCGGGGCAGCGGCCGCACATGGCGCCGCCGCCGTACGTGCACCACTTTGACAGCTACTCGCTCGTCAAGGACCTCGAGCGCGGCGGGTACAGCAAGAAGCAGGCCATCACGCTGATGAAGGCGATCCGGGCGCTCCTGGCGCATAACCTGGACGTCGCGCAGGAGAGCCTCGTGAGCAAGAGCGACGTCGAGAATGTGGGCCCTCCCCCCCCCCCCCCCCCCCCCCCCCTCTTTTTGTTCTTCGTCTTGACCTGCAACTGCAATGAAATAGGACCAGACTGACAGCCGGAACAGGAGACGTATCTCTTCCGGGCGGCGTGCTCGGAGCTGAGCACCGAGGTCAAGAACAACCAGAAGCTGGCGGACGAGGAGATGCGGCAGAGGCGAACGCTGCTGCAGCACGAGGTGGACATTCTTGCGCAGAGCCTCAACCAGGAGCTGCTCACGCTCAACGACAACGTCCGCGGCATGTTCAACGACCGCAAAATGGCGGTGCGGGAGGAGCAGAAGGCCGGCGACAGCGTGGTGAGTGGTTGATTACATTCCCTGCCCCCGTTTTTATATTTCATACTTTCTTCTGTCCCACGTGACTGACACCCCCCGCAGATCCAGCAGATCAACTACAAGATCAGCTTGCACCTCAGCAGCGACGCCAAGTCGGAGATCGAGGGCCTGCGGTGGATCCTGATCCGACGGTCCGTCATCGGGATCCTGTTCATGGCGGTGCTGACGCTGGGGACGCTGCGGTACGGCACGTACGTGAGCCACGCGCGGCAGGCCGAGGCGGAGCGCCTCAGGAAGCAGGCCGAGATGCTCAAGATGGCCGACGGCAAGCGGGACCACAGCTCGGCGCCGGACGCGGCGGAGATTTTGGCGGCGAACTGAACAAAAGGGGCAGACTCACAGGGCCGCAGAGGCCGCGGGGAAGGGGGGGGCGGGGTGGCAAGCGGAGGGTGGGCGTCAGAAGAGACTGGGTTCCGGCGCGCGTTGCCAGGATGATGATACCCCATAGACAGACCATAGACGGGGCGGGGACAAGGATAGACTACGGTACTAAAAGAAGAAAATAGGATTGTTCTCTTCCGCTTACTTGTTTCGCTGCTCGTGTTCGAGGATGCCGACATGTGTAACGAAGGTGTGTGTGAGCGTCGCAGTTGTCGCATCGAGGGCGGTTTTCGCAGAGAGTCCCCCGACGCGTCCCTCTCTTCAGGTTCTGTTATCCAGGCATCTAGGAAACCCCTGTCCGAAAAGGCCGCGCAAACCAACTCGTACATGGTCGTTCTCGCTAAAGACCTGCTTTGGAAGAAAGGCTTTCGTCGAGGCAGAGCCCCCTAGCGGCTGTGGGGAGGCAGAACTCGCTGGAACGGGGGAAAAGCATGATAAGTATATCCAACACCTTCACCTGCCACATACGACCATACCCACTGGAGAACTCGGGATCCCGTCCGCTCTCCCATAGATAAGCCAGTGAGGGCCGGATTAGTAGTTGGGTCGGTGACGACCAGCGAATACCCGGTGTTGTATGTTTATTGGTCTTCTTTTTCAAAGCTCAGCTTTATGGAGGGAGCCATTGGAGCAGAGAAAAGGGGTGACAACGAACTTGAATTGAACCCCCCGTCTTTTTTTCCCAGAGACAAAAGACTGAATTGATTGATTGGGAGCGTAATGTTTAGGTTCCGCTCAGAAAGACAATAGGCTCCAGTACCGTCAAGGGACCTGGTCTCGGGCTCATTATCCTCCTTCAACATCAAGTCGTTTATTGCCTGATACCTTCCTCAAAACTGACATAAGTCAACGAAAGAAAACTGCCAACCGCCCGGCCGCCCGTCTTATGCTTCTTAAGTGGGCACCCTTTTGAAGACTTGACAATCTTGCGGAAGATCTCCTCCGCAGAGTGACTGAACGTCTGAAGGTAAAGGTCGAATAAAGAGAAACATGCAACACCAGGTACTTGCTGGTCTTCAGGCCCTGATTGTTCTCCTATCCGCACGAAGGAAATGTTGATAACGATGTCATAGGCAGAGAGGCTCGGCCCTTTCGCCACTGCTCGGAGGAAGGCAGTGGGGTCAACAGGAGCAGGCAGGTCAGACTCGATGTACTTAAGAAGGTCATGTTCATCCAGAAGGGCCCTGATGGCAACTAGCGAATGCTGATAGCTCTTTTTGCTGTGAAGAATCGGAAGGCCAGTGAGATAAGAGCCAACAGGCGCCATGATAGTAGGTTATTAGCAAGAGTTAGTAAGGTTAAAGATATCTATAGATATCTATATAGATTTCCTTATAACACAGTCTATAGATCTAGTAGATATATCTATATAGTTAATAGATCTTATTAATATAGACTTTTTAAGTAAATATAATTTATGGGTAAAATAGTTAGATCTAGATAGATATTTTTTACTTATAGGTCTAGATATTATAGTTATAAAGTAGATTTTAGGATAGATATTATAAATATTAAAATTATAAGCCTTAAAATTTATATACTACTTAGCTTTAGGTCTTTTAGTAAGTATACTTTATAATATATAATTTACTTTATAGCTATTATTAAGATTAATAATATTAATTTACTTTATATAGCTATTACTAAGATTAATAATATTAATCTACTTTATATAGCTATTACTAAGCTTAATAATATTAATTTACTTTATATAGCTATTACTAAGATTAATAATATTAATATAATTAATATAAAGATTATTAAGAAAACTTAATAATTTAAAAACTATCTCTATAAGATATATATTTTCTACCTTCTTTAGCACTTTAATAGTAATTTATATTTACTACTATTTATATTAGACTTATTTTAAAAATAAGAAAAACCTTTAAACTAAAAGCTATAACTTTAAGTAATTATAAAAAAAGACTTAATTAAGCCTAAGAACTAAGTATTAATAGTAATATAGCCTTTTAAATAGCTATTATAAATCTAATAAGATAAAGCTAGGCTATAATAGTAACATAAAGTAATATAGTATAAAAGCAAAGTATAATAGTAAAGTAGTAAAGTAAGATAAGTAATAATAAGGAGCTTAAGAAATAATATAAAATAAGATAAGTAATAAATAAGAGATATATTTATAGTTAACCTTCTTTTATAAAAGGTTACTTACTAAAAGAATATATATATAAAGTATATATAATATATTATATATATATTAAGTATTTAGGTCTTACTATTTATTTATTTCCTAACTATATATTACAGCTAGTTTCTAGACAGTAGGGTTTCTACTAATAGTAAGCAGAGGTTAGTACTTAGTTAACAGTATTTGTTTTTCTTATTATCTTTATTAATTACCTAGTAATTAGTGAAGGCTTAGGGTTATAGGGCAGCTTATATAGCTTCTTATTAATTAAATTACTAAGGTTAAATACTAAAAGATATTTAGAGAATATATTATAAGTTAATTACTAAAGAGCTATAAGAGTCTGTCCTTAAGTACGTCTAAGTCTATCTTATATATAAGTCCTAACTATTCCCTAATAGTTTTTTTAACTAATAGTTATAAAGTAGAATTAGTGCTTACTTAGGTATCTACTAAGTACTTATCTTACTTATAAATAAGTGCTTATTTTTTATCTAGTATAAACCTTATTTAGAAGAATTTCTTAAGTATAATAGTAACCTTACTATATACTTCTATAAAGTATAAAATATCTTTAAAAGTATAACTAGTTTTATAAAGGCCTTATAGTTACTATTTTAAGATCTTAATAAGAAGTAATAAGCTAAGTAAGACCTAGCTAGCTTATAATAAACTAAGTTAGCCTCTTACTATATAGCTAAATTCTAATAACTAGCTACTTAACTTAATATTACTTAAGAATTACTAATTTTTACTTTTTATTAAAGACTTAAGGATAATATTAAAAATAAACTTATTAAGATTATTAACCTACCTAAGGACTTCTTATTTTATATTAAACTTTTTATTAAAACTTAGTACTAATATAAGTAAGAAGTATACCTAAAGACTTAAGTAACTATACTAATAAAATAAGAAATAAAACTACTAGTAGTAATTATATAATAGTTACTTAAGTGCTACTTATAGATAATATATAAGACCTATAGATATTAGTATTATTAGGAAATAAAATTAGTAACTAGTTTAAGACGCTAGTATAATTAAGTACTATAACTATAAAAAAATAAAACACTTTATATAAGACTATAAATAGCCTAAAAAGCTATAGAATAAAAACCTACTTAAGTATATATAAAAAGCTAATATAGCTTAAAAAAAGGTTCCTTATAAATAACTTTTATAAACTACTTACTATAATAATAACTACCTAACTTATAAGGATAGTAAAAAATAAGTAAGATAGTACTTAAAAAAGCCTAAAGACACTACTAAGGCAGCCTAATAAAGATAGTTTATAATAATTAATATAAAAGAATTTTATAACTAGGTTAAGGTTAAAGAAATAATAAAAACTATAATAAAGGGACTATATAATAGCACCCTAAAAGAAAGCACTAATACTATAACCTAGGCTACTAAACCTATAGATATTTAGTAAATTAACTAATAAACTATAGTAATTACTTAATAATATAGTAATAAAAAGGAATAATAGATAGCTACTTAAGAAGACATTAGATAATTAAAGACACTTAAAGAAGAATAACTATAAGAAATTACTAAAACTATTATAGTAGCTAGAAAGTAATAAATCTAAAAAGTTAAAGACTTTAAGGTATAAAACTAATAACTTATTATTAAACTAATCTAGATATAGGACGCTATATAAGATAAAAAAGATTAATTATATATAAAGAAAACCTTAGACACCCTTAGTAAAAAGTTATAACTTTATATTAAAATATAAAGTAACTACTAGAAATAATAGTAATTAAAGTAAGACTTTAAGTAAACTATATATAAAGCTACTAGCTTTAGTATATAACTAACTAAGATTATTACTATAAGTAAGAAAGCTATTACTTACTAAATAAAGATATAATAAATAATTCTTAACGTTATAAATAAAGATATTTAATAACTACTAAATAAGTATAATAAATAAATTATTTATAATATAATTAGAACTATAAGGTTACTATATAATAAGCTATATTAATTTAAATAATAAGTTAAGTATAA